TGAGAAAAAAGGATGTTAAGTGAGATCTCTTATATATGTAAGTCCTACTAAATCTTTATTACTTATTGCAACTACATGAGAGTAAAATTAACTGTATCTGGCTTTAAGTTGTGATTAGTGAAACTTGCTGTTTGAGGTAAAAGACTCTTAGGCCTATAACTAGTTTTGTTTTGAGTTTGAATTTGGGTATAGTTGTCTCCATTAAGTCAGTATCTGAAGTTTCCCTATTGTGTTCCTTTAAGAAGGAATGTTTCCCACCATGTGCCAAAATTTTGTTCATAACACTATCAAACCTGTTAGAGATATTCCCAGACACAAATAATTCATTATCTGGATGATATACTTTGCAGTTGTTCTACTACTAGCGAACTCTCCTTATTAATGCTGGAGCTTTAACAAGCCCTTTAGTCTCATAGACTTATATAATTCCCCCTGAAAAGGTACAAAAGAAACCATCCTATTGGCATATTGTTTCACAGTCTACAATTAGACCCCCAAAATTACAAATTAGGCAAGATTCCTTAAAAACTCTTAATGATTTTCAAAAATTTCTTAAAGATATTAATTATCTTCAGCCTGCCTCAAAGATCACCACTAATCAATTATCTAATCTTTTTACCACCCTCAGATACCTCACCAAGAATATTTACACCTCAGACAAAAGATAAATTTAAACTAGTAGAATAAAAGATAGCTGAAACCCAATTGATCCTTATTAATCCCCATGAAAAGTACAAACAGCTATATTAGTCACACCTATTTCTCCTACTAGGGTCTTATTTCAAACTGCTAGTGTAATTGAGTAGATTTATCTCCCTCACCAATTCCCTAGTTCACTTACTTCCTATACTACCATAGTAACATTATTAGTTCAATGACTGTCAAAAAGATATTTACTATTGTCAGGACATTTTCTTCCCGTTATTCATCAGCCCTACAATAAACAACAGCTTGATCCCCTGATAGCCTCCTCTAAATATTGCCAAGTTGCTCTCTCTATAGTTATGAGTAAACTTCATGATCATCTTCCTTCACTTAAGATATTATCTTTTTTCACTAATTATTTTTGGATTTTCCCAAATGTCATACAATACAACACTATGCCCCAAGTGCTCACTGCTTTTATTGGCAGCTTAAGTAGTGAAAAAGCTGGTTATTCTATTTTTCAACACCATCACAAAGTAATTCAAACTTCCTTTTCCTCTGCCCAGAAGACAGAACGTTTTGCTTTGATACTTCTTTTTCAAGATTTTTTTCTCAATCTCCTAATGTAATGTCACACAGTAAATATTCTATGTATGTTTGTCAACATATACAAACAGCAAAATTAAGCCATATTTTGTCCCCCGATTTCTATTCCCTTTTTCAACAATTACAAACCCGTATTCAGTCTCATACCAATCCTCTTTATATTACTCACATACGAGTACATTCTAATTTGCCCAGACCTCTTACTAAAGGTAATGCTATTATTGATTCTCAACTACGATTCTATCCAACACTTTTAACCCCTACTATACAACAAACTATTAATTTTCATTCCCAGTTTCTCTAAAATGCTGCCACTTAACTTTTTATTAAGCTTTTATTGGGCCTTTTATTAAGTATGTTCTGCCAATGCAGCAACCTTAACTATAGAGAGGATAACATTTTGTGACTATTTTTGAATAAACCCCTACAGTATTAGAAACATAGTATAAAAAATAATTTTTTTTAAAAAAGGCTGTTCCAAATGTATCACTTTTAATAACCCTCCTTCTTTTCCCATTAATCCCAAATACCTTTCTCCCAACCATATTTCCCAAATGAATGTAACTTATATGCCTTCTTTTGAAAAGCTTTCTTATATTCATGTTATAGTCGATACCTTTTCTTCTTTCACTTTTGCCACTTTATAACAAGTGGAACAATTAACATGTAATCAATCATATTTTACAAGCCTTCTCAGTTATGTGTATACCTAAACAAATTAAAACAGATAATGCTCCTGCTTACGTTAGCAAAGCATTTTCTTCCTTTTATACTTTTTATAGCATTCCTCTGATCACAGGCATTCTATATAATTAAAAACAAAGATATTAAAACTATTCTTCTTAAACAAAAAGGGGGCATCTGGGCTATTACCCCTCATCGACAATTGGCTATTGCATTAAATATCCTTAATTTTTAAAATATTGACAAAGATAGGTACACTCCAGCTGAAAAACATCGTGAGAAAAATAAACATTCAGAGGTCCGGATCCATTACTAACGTGGGGATGAGGGTATGCTTGTGTTTTTTCAGAAAACTTTGATAAACCTGTCTGTGGACACCAGAGAAAAATGTCCGAGCATGTACCACAACTCACAGCCCAAATGCAGAGCATGACGATTTGGGGAAAGAGCAGAAGGAGCCGATCTACAGTGACGAGTTGCCTTCCCACATGGGGTTAAGTGAAAGCTCTCTCTCATCGAGCAATGGAAGACTCCTGAACTTGTATTTTTAGCAATGATAGCTGTACTTTCTGCTCAAGTGTGTAATGTAAAGAGTGCTCAGCACTAGACTTATTTTCCTTTTCCACCCTGGTTGCGACCCCTCACATATATGGACAAATTGGGGACTATATATATTAATAATACCTGTATATTCAGAGGCCAAGAATACCCTTTCCTCCAGGACAGAACCAACGTTACAATTACCCTCAGATTTCTAGCATCCAGGACACCTATATGTTTTACAAAAATTAGCAACAATACTGAACCCTGTCTTTCTCTTGTTGCAACATCTTTTAATACCAGTTCGTCTAATGGATATGTAAATTTTACTCAATCTAACATTTTTGAATAGAATGTTATTTGTGTCAATTGTACTCTCAAACAATGTATTGATAATAATGACTATATTGTACTTTTGGTTGAACAACCATCATTTGCTATTTTCCCTACTAACATCTCACATGAATAGTTCCAGAACTCTGGTGAACGTGCTTCTCAAACTATTACTTCCTCCTTAAGTCAATCAAAATGATTTATTGGTCTCCTTATTACTGGTTTAATCACTGTTGCTTCTCTTATTGTATCCACCGTTTCATCTACTGCGCTACAATCTGAAGTTTAAACTGCACATTTTGTAAATGACTTAGCAAAAAATATAAGTTTAGCACTTAAAGCACAAGCAGCTATTGATAGAGATATATTGTACAAGGTCAATTTTATTAGAGCAATCAGTATTGTATTTAGGGGATGAGTTAGAAACCTTGAAAACAAGGTTGCTATTGCGATGTGATTATAGATATTCATATATTTCTGTTACCCTGCTACCCTATAATGCTTCAGATCCTAATATCTCATGAGACAAGATACGTGCCCACCTATTGGGAGCCTGGCACGATTCTAATAATACCCTCAAATACTCTTCATGATATTACTTCCAACATTGAAAATAGTCCCCATCCTGGGATTGACCCCAATAAAATAGCAAATATTATCCTGTCGGCATTATACCAGCTTTCACCCTTTTCAAGTATATCCTTGCTTTTGCATATGCTCCCCTATGGCATTGGCCTAATTTGTTTTTGTTTCCCATTTCTTTTGAGTTTCACATCAGCAACCATTAAACTAATTATGAGTCAATTACATGAACTTAAATTAACAAACAAAAAAGGAGGAGATGTTGGGAGCCCGAGTCCTTATGGAAAATCTCTAAGTCCTTATAGACTTAAGGGGTCAGTATGTACAGAGAGGCTTGCCTCGGGATAAACGCTTCCTTGACTCTTGCCCTAATTCCGTTTGTTATAGTTTGTTGACTCTAAGTTCTCACTCATGCACAGCCTTGAGGCCAGGTGGCTGACTTGGGCAGATAATACTAAGAACTGGGCAGGGAAACAACAGATATGATTAAAACTACTTTCTCATGAGAAAATGAGGATCTTTAGCTGCTTAGTTTGTGTATGTTATTAATTGGTGCTTGTAGATCATTTCTTATGTTACAAAGCTGTTCTTCTATGGGTATATAATCAGAAAACTCCTGAAATAAACTAGTCTTGAACATTAATCTCTTAAGACTTGCCTAGCCCGACTTTTCTTTCTCCATTTCCCTTCCCCATTTTCTTCACTGCTCTGTCTTGCACCACGCCAGCTACTGGCAGTTATTGAGTGAGGGAGGAAGGAAGAGAACCTGAAAGTGGCAATGGAGAGCAAGGAGTATTCCAACTTCTTTGCCTTGATCAGTATGTTAAGGAGAATGAATGAAGGTATAACCAATATTGGAAAGGGTTGGCCAGGGAGACTGTGTCTTCAGGGGAAAGCCAGGTTTCAGTAAAAATTAGTAGATGGAAAGAGTGAACAAGTTTTGGTGTATGAATATGATGGAATATTACAAATATATGGAATACTCAATAATGGTTATGCGAAATGATGAAGGGGATGGTTTCAGAGAAGCCTGGAAGGACTTATCTGAACTTATGTAAAGTGAAGTAAGCAGAACCAGGAGAACAGTTAATACAATAACAACAATACTGTAAAGATAATAAACTTGAAAAGACTTAGGAACTATGATCAGCACAATGACTAACCACAGTTTCAAAGGACTCATGATGAAACATGCTATCTACCTCTAGAGGGAGAACTGATGGACTTAAGATTGCAGATGGAAGCATATTTCTTCTATTTCTTTTTCTTACTTTTTTCCCTTAGAACATGGCTAATACGGAAATTTGTTTTGAATGACTATGCGTATTTGTAATGAGTTTTATTTTTCTAGCCTTCTCAACACAGTGGAGAGTGGAGGAGGGGAGAGAATTTGAAACTAAAAACAAAGTTTAAAAAACAACAACAAATGCTGTACTCAAGTGTTGTAGTAAAACTTAAGTAGCAATAAGTTGCAAGGTAAGTAGCAAAAAAGAAAAAGCAGTTTTTAGCGCTAAGCCTTATAAATGCTAACCCCAGACGAGAACAACAAATAGTTAATGGATCCAAGAAAGCTATACTCATAATTAATAAAGAAACATATCCTAACTTACTTTTTTGTTAAATTCAGTGGTTGCTTCCATAAGTTTCTTTTCTTGATCTGTAAACTGAAAATTTTAAGGCAGAAAATGATTAAGAACTGAATAAATGAAAAAGAATAAGTAACTAAGAAAGAAATACTGAATATTACCAGATCTGTCACTCTGCTCCTCTCCAGGTTGATATCCAGTTTATTATTTGCTCTGCTTCGAGTAGTTTCAAGCTATAAAGAAAATGAAAAGTATATTTGGAATGACATCTTGCTCTTTTTGGAATTTAGAATTTGTTCTTATATGGCATGAAGAAAATGCTTTACTTACTATTAGTTGTTGTTTAATTTGGTCTAGTTCAATTTTCATTTTCTAGGTATAAAAGGGACCACTGAACATTAGTAATAATCAAAAGATCATCTTCCAATTGACCTAGAAATTCTGAAACACAAGATTACTAAAATTTTGTGCAATCTGTGGATCTCTACAAGAGATTTGTTCCATATAAAACAGAAACCACAGAAACTTATGAAGATATCTCATTCTTAGACCCCCAAATTAGATTTACCTTAAAAATGAGATTTACATCCAAACACTGTTATCTCTGTAAATTACTGTAGTTTTCTTTTAAATGAGAAATAATCTTTATTACCTTTTATTTGAAAAGAAATTCTCAAGCTGGTAAGTAAAAGAAATCCTTTTTCTTTTACAAGGACAGAGAAAATTAATGGAAAACTAAAATGTCTCATTATGCATAAAATTCAAATGAATTTGAAATAAGATCTTAACTAGGTTTTGTTTTTTTTCCTGGTATTAAGTAAAAAATGAACACAGGGCAGGAGAAACTTCATTAACTGCAACTATAGATGTACATATTGTATGTGTGTGTATGTATTTCTCCCAACAACTATGATTTAAACATAAAGGGGCAGGTGTTGTTATGGAATGTTCTTATAAAAAATTTTTAATAATTGTGAAGTATCACATATAATTTTGCCATCTGTCTTGTCAAAATATTTTAAAACAGCAAATTTTGTGATACAATGTATTCATTATTTAAAAGTTCACATTACCTCATTCTCTGCTCTCAGATTTGCAAATTCACTTTTCTCTAGGATGACCATATCTTTCCGGATCGAATCCAAATGTGCCATTATTTGCTGTACAGTAATTTCCTAAGATATAATATAGTATTTAAACACTGAATTAAGAAATGGCAGACCTTACAGTATTTATGGAAATTAAGACAGTGTGTAATTAAGACAACATATAAAAAGTCATAATTTTTTTTGGTAGTCTGAAGAACAGCAATAAATATGAAAATTGTTGTATATTTGGGGAATAAATGCCAAAGTGTGTTAGAATATTTCCTAGGAACTGAGAAAAATGGCTAGGTTTTACCAGAGTACAAGAGAAAAATTTTGAAAATCACTTCCTTAGCTTTAAGTATAATCCTATCAAAGGGGAGAAAAGCAATAAAAGTAAAGATCACTGGACTTGGATCTCCCGGATATGAATCCTGATCCAAATACTTACTAGATGACTATATACAAGTCACAAATTCTCTGAGTCTCTTTATCAATAAAATAAGGATAGGAATGCTTGTATGGCCTACTTTTCACAGGATTGTGAAGTTAAGTACTTTGTCAAGCTTAAAGCACTACAAAAATATGAGTTATTATGTAATAGGAAATCCCAAAGCACTACATGGGCGTCAGAAGCTGGTAATTAAACAAAACTGGTTGGAATATGTTTGCCTAATCACCATGGGCATCATTTCAGCAGGATAATTTATGGGTCATTTGTTAGGCATCCTTATACTATGCTTTGTACTGGAGAGAACATATTTTAAAAGGTAGTCATTTATAAAGTTTCATCTAGCTAGAGATACCACTTACAAAGAATAGTGGAAAAGATAATAGTTTAAAATATAAAAGTGGTTTAAAGAAGCTTTGCTAATAAAACATGACCATTCTCCTACTAATGAACTTAAAATTCAGCAGTCTGGTAACCTATTACAAAAACTCACTCATTTTTCTCAGTCAAAAGAAAAGCAGGGGTGACACATAGCTTTGAAAAGAGACAGCTAGAGGAGGATTCTATTAAGTATTATTGTTAAGCATTGTGAAGGGTATTCACATATCCTCAGTATAAAGGAACTATATGTCATTCATTCAACAAGTAGAGAGGAAAGCAACTATCAGCAGCCCTAATCCTCTAGGAAAAGGCTGTGGTCCCTGTTTAAAGTCAGGAAAGTAATATTTGATGGCTGCTTTGTTAGGCACAGGGACTAAGTAACCCTAATAGAACTACTTCAAATGTGGCACAACTCATGAGAGCTAGGCCTAGGCAACAGTCCCAGAGAGTAATCATAAAACGTCTCTGACAGTTCTGGACTGCTCATCTTACTCCAGAGGGGTCCTCCCTCCTTTACCTCTAATCTATATGCTTATGGGAGAGGGAGAAAAGGGGGAAAGAGTGTGACTTCTGGGAACTACACCACTTGAAAGATTCAAATTGTGCCTAAACAGCAACACAACTGTCATTAAACCCCAGAAAGAGCATCCTTTTAGTATAGGACAGTCTCTTGCACATAGAAGGTTAAGGGAATTTTCATTCATTTAACAACATGTGAGTGTCCCCTGTGCATGAGCTCTTTATGAAGTTGTTTTCAGTCCCTGTTGATGTTGTAAGGAAGTTTCTAGAAGACAGCAATAGTTCCTCACAGTTCCTCCAAAACTTCTCAGCACTATAGGGAGCTAAGTTTCCGCTATAATGATTATTATTAAGGATGATGATGATTTTCTCATTTGATTTCAGACTCTCACAGTTGGAAGGGCCCTTAGAGATTATAGTTGAACCAGAATCTCCTCAACAATATGAGATACATGGCCACACCTTTTCTTAAAGAAAGTTGTGTAGTGGGGGACACCCTACTTCCCACAGAGGCAGCCAGCCCATCCTACTTCTGGGGCGCTCTGTTAGGAAATGTTCATTCTATCAGACCTCAGTCTACCTTTTTGTAGCTTCTACCCATGACTCCTCCCAGTTCTGGTCTCTGAGCCAAGCATCACCACTCTAAGCCCTTTCCCATTTTAATTTTCCATTTTAATCCTTGAAGATAGATCTCATGACTCTCCTGAGCCTTCCTCTCCTCTTCCAGGCAAACTACCTCAGTTCCTTATTGATCCTCATGACATCTCTGTGATATAGGTACTATCAGTGTTCCCTTCATTCTACAGGTGAGTAAACTGAGGTTTAGAGGTGGGAACATGACCATAATCACACAGGTCATGTCTGAGGGAGGGTTCAGACCCTCATGTCTTTCTTATTCTAAGGTCACTACTATTCCCCTTATATCACATTTCCTCATGCAGTGGAAAATTGTGGGAAAAAATTTGTTAAACTAAAATAATACATTTATAAATTCAAAAGCAACTTAAATTCAGGGTCTGAAGGCTTTCAATTCTGAGTCTCTTTAGCAAGAAAAATAAAATGAAAACTTCCCAAAGCAGGGTACTCTTAGAGTCCATTAAAGTACTGAAATGTCATTCAGTTTGAAACTTCATGCTATAAAGGCAGCTAGGTGGTACGGCAGATACAGCAGGAGCCCTGCAGTCAGGAGGACCTAAGTTCAAATCCAGCCTCAGACACTTGACACTTACTAGCTGCTTAACCCTGGCACTTAACCCTGATTGCCTTGCCAAAAAAAAAAAAAAAAAGAAAAAAAGAAAGAGAGAAACTGCATGCTATAGCTTAAAACTTCACTGTTTCTGGTATGGATTACTGCTCTGAGGAGGGAAGAATTCATTTTAAAATGATCTTTGAAATATAACTATAAGTGAAGATAGATTCTATTATTGAATCAGAACAAATTAACTCATGGCTAATAAAACAAATCGTGCCATAGATGACATCATCAGCTAGTTTAATGATTAGTTTAACTAATCAACCAGTATAAAATTTACTGCTACTGGGTCAAATGCCTATTTTAATTTAGATACATCAAAGAGCCTTTGTTGTGATGAGTACTTATAAAGTAATTAAATCAGATGTGTATGCTATTTACCTTATCTTAGCCTCTAGACATTTGAACTAGATGATCTCTAAGTTTCCTTCCAGCTCTAAAATTCTATGAAAAGCAGGTAGAAAGATTTAACTGATAGGAAACATGTACTGGAAAAGATCTCTTAAAATATGAAAGACTTACTAGGTAGAGAGATTAGCTGTGTGATCTTTAAAAGAAAAAAAAAGTGAAGTGATCATTTACTGAGTGCCCTCCTCTATTCAGCAAGCCATTCCTTCTAACAAAGAATCAAAGAGGGAGAAAAAGGGCAGTCAAACAAATCAACTAAAGTCTTAACCAAGTCCGACCTCTAGTCCACCACTTTTACAATAACTGGAAGGAAGTAGATTTTCTCACCCCTTTTTGGGGGCTAGACTTGGTCATTGTAATTACAGCAGTTAGGTGATATTAAGCAAGCCATTTAACCTCTTAGGCCTTTACTGCTGACAAATATAAAATGGGGGTGCTCTAGGGGTTGGCTATTATATGATTTACAAAATCTCAGTTCAAAATATAATTTTGTCACTAGACAAATTTCTATGTCATCTGAACCACTTCTGAAATTGAAGAACCACTGAATAACTATAGGTCTGTTTTAATGCCTTAACCATCTGGACATGAATGATTTGCATTTTCCAGGAAGAAAAAGTATCTTAGGCCTTATAGGAAAGACCCAAAAACAAGCTAAAGGGCAGCAGATGTGATCCATTGTTTTGTTTTGTTTTTTTGGCTTAAATAATACATAACCAATTACCTGTTGAGCTCGAGTGACCATCTCCTTATAGATTGTGTCTAGGCTGACATTTGACAGAATTATTAATGCTAACACAATGGTTTCTGCTTGTGCTTTTTCAAATCCTGTAGGCAGAGAATAGGCATTAGTATTTTTAAAGCTATCAATCCTTATCAGAATAGACCTTTATAAAAATAAAAAAGTAGGACTTTATGCCATACTACAACTTTTTGCAGCTTATGAATGACACTCTAAATTGTAATTAATGTGATGAGATAAATAAAATAATAATACTATTTCACCTTTGAAGGATGTATTCAATAATTGGTTTCTCACCATGACTTTCTAAGTCCTGAACCACTGAATGGGTATCAAAAGTTAACTTCCTTTGCTCTAAAGGAGTTATGTCTACTCTCCTCATGTCATAATTTTTCTTGGAGCTGGTGGTCAGCAAACCTGAAAAGAGAAAGTAAGGGTCAGGTTTTTTCTTGTGAAACTGATTTATCAAATGTCAAAAAATAATTTAGAGGCTTATCTTTCACTTTTTAACCTGATAATTTTTTTGAAAGTCAAAAGGTTTGTTATTACAACCTGTGTTGCTATCTTATATCCAATGAACCGGGAAACACTGTGAGAGACATAAAGTCCACAGTGCATAGAGATGGCCTCAGAACCAGGCAGACCCAGGTTCAGTTTCCATCTCTTGACACATAATGGCTGTTGGAGGCTGGCCCAGTCAGTGCTCTGGGTAACTCTCTAAGGCTCTAAGTTGAGGAGCAGGCAATGATCTCTACTGGTAGAGAGGATTCCCTCATCTGAGAGTACCCTGCATCAAAGAAATCAGATGTGCAGTCTATTTTATTATCCCTATTCAATGAAATCAAATCTATTTTGACCTATTTAGCCAAATTATTGATGGCAAAAAAATGACATATGGGTAGAAGTGCAGATATCAACTAAAATAATTTTATCCATTAGTTAATGTAAATCACTTGCCCTAACAAGGAAGAAAAGAAGCTAAACAGTGGGTTACTGAACAAAAAAAAACCACTTTAAAATAGAAACTTGTTGGTAAAATGATGGAAAAGAATTTAGAAGATTGTAAGCACTATCGTCTACCAAAACAGAGAGAGGCAGTGGAGGTGTGAAGTCAGTTTAAAGAAAGACTGGAGAGAGATAACTAAGCAATGTCAACCTGAGGGCACTGACAGATGTAAATGCAAGGGTGAAAATCTGCAAAGATTTTTAACAACTTATTCCACCAAAAAGAAAGAAAGCGGAGCTGCAACACTTACAACTAAAACATTACTGTCCTAAATATGCTTAGATTGGAGATAGAAAGGAAAGAGAACACAGATAGAAAAATCAGCTAGTTTAGACCACATCTTTATTATCACACAATTGACTAAAGAATACAAAATCTCACTATACTTAACATTCGCTGATTATTAAAAAAAACCCTGAATTTAGAGTGGAAAACATTGCCTTAAAAGAATTTTCCATGTATACATCAAAATTATCCAAGATTCCTTTTTTCAAAAAATTATTTATTTGTTCCATTTTACATTCTGTATTGTCTCCCTCCTTCCCCACCCTACACTAGAGGACACCCTACATTACACCCTATACTACAACCTACACCATTTAACATGCACTTGGTGTGCTCGTGGGAGCGCATACGCACACACACGTAATATATACATATACACTGTGTATGTGTGTGTTAATATATGTAGTACCATCCTATATATACTCCCTATTTATCAGTTCTTTCTCTGGAAATGGATAGCATTTTCCTTCACAGTTCCATTATAGTATTTATATAGTATGTATACAGTATTTAAAAATGCTCAAAATAACTTAGTTTTTCAGTTATTCTTGGAACAATAATGCTGTTATCATATAAAACGTTCTCTTAGGTTTGCTCATTTCATTCCTTATTTCATCCAAGTCTTTGTGTGTTTTTCTAAAATCTATCTGCTGATCATTTCTTACAGCAGAGTGGTATTCCATCAGAATCATATACCACCATTCCATCACAATCTGCTGGCATCAGATTCCATTTTTCTATCATGTGGTCAAATATGCACATGACTCAAAGAAAAATAGGTAATTCCCTGGATGAGAGGATTCAAAAAAATCAAAGCTAACATTATAGACTAATGAGAATAAAATGATACTTAATAGGGATAAATAAATTAATAGCATTAAAATCAACTTCACTACTATGGGATTTAGGAAATGATGCTAAAGAATAGTTCATGTAAAAGAGGTCTGAGGGTCCTGTTGGTTGGTCTTCCTATTTTCAGTCTCAGCTATCAAACTGATCTTCCTCAAACTGATCACTCAGGTCTGACCATATCATCCTTCTTCCCCTTCAGTAAACTTTAGTGGCCTCCTATTGCCCCCAGGATCAAATACAAAATCCTGCTTGGCTTTCAAAGCCTTTCATAACCTGCCCCTTCTCAGCTTTCCAGTCTTCTTACACCTCAATTCCCCCAGGATACTCTGTGATACAGTGACACTAGCTTCCTTGCCATTTCCTGAATATAACATTCCATCTCCCAGTACATGTTTTCACTGGCTCCTCTCCTCCCCAAGCCTCCATTACCAGAAGGTTTTCCTGCCTCATCTCCACCTTCTGGTTTCCCTGGCTTTCTTCAAGTCAAAGCTAAAGCTCACCTTCTGCAAAAAGCCTTTCCCAGTCTTCAATCTTAATGTCTTCCTTCTGAGACTGCCCAAATATCTGTCCTGTCTAAATCTTGTTTGTATATAGCTGTTTGCATGTTTTCCCCATTATACTCTAAGCTCCTTGAGAGAAGAGACTTTTATCTTTTTTTGTATCCCCAGGGTTAGGCACAATGCCTAACATAAAGTAGGCACTTAATAAATGTTTGCTGACTGCAAGATCAGTATGTCACCAGTTTGACAGATACCAAAATATGTAATGCAATTTAGGCTATGTTCCCAGATATGATGTATAGCTTGAGGAAGGGGACTGTCTCTGTGTACCCTGCTCTTTTTAGATTTCATATGAAGTTATCATGTTTACTTTTAGGTACCACATCTTAGATGCCGACAAACTGGAGCACATGAAAAGAAAGGAGTTCAGGATTATAAGAGGATTAAAGATCAGGACATATAAACATAATTGATGGAATTTTGGGGATGGTTAGACTAGAGAAGCCCTAGGGGTAACCTAAATAAGTCTTCAGATAATTGAAGGGCTGTGATCCATAAGAGTGATTATACTTGTTCACCTTGGCCCCAGAGGGAATATAGAAGTAGATATTAACAGGTAGAGAAAGTTACATTTTGGCTGATAACACAGAACAACCTTCTAATCATTAGAGCTGAACAGAAATGTAAATGGCTTCCACAGAAGGAAGTTTCTTCATCAATGGGCATCTTCAAATACCTAAAAAAACCTTAAAATATTTTTTTTTCTTTTTCTGGTTCCTTCTCCTTGCAAATTTTACACACCCCTCACATACTTGCCTAAAGGTCAAGCTTTAGTATTATAATTTTAATTATGTAATTATAACATAAATTATATATAATATAAAAACAATACAAATATATAAAAATAATATAAATGTAATCCTTTTCCTTTATAGGGTAGCTATAGTGAGGAAGACCTCAGTTTAAATCTGAACTCATACACTTACTAGCTGCGTGACCCCAGGCAAGTCATTTATCCCTGTTTTCCTCAGTTTCTTCTCCACAGACTCCTGACTTTTCCAGACAGGTGCTTAACTAGTCAAGGCTGGCTGTCTTTAAATAACTGTACTCTTTAATATTTCAAAAGATTTGTGATCAACCCTTCCTTCATAGACCTTAGTAGAACTGAATTAATTGAATTCATATATTTCATTTCAACATTTTAAAAGTCAGTTTTCCAGAACTGTGAAGATGAGAGCCAAGCAATGATCAAAATTATTGGGTATTTTCTGAGTAAACTCCCAAGTAAATACATCTACTTATTTCTTTTTTTTTTCCACCCAAGCACAGGTTTTATTAAAGATTTGCCATATTGCCATATTCTTAAGGAATCTGAACATTTGTGACACTTGTTTTGACAAGCAGGCTAGAGTCAATCTCAGCCACTGGCTCTTTAAAAATGGATAACCATTTGTTGATTATTTTTGCATAGGAGACTCCTGCTTAGGTAGACACAAATACAGAATCTCTGAGGTCAAGACAATGTTAGTATAAATGCATGGTTGGTGTCTCCTTGCAACATGAGCTCATGTTCTTTTCAAATGAATCTACCTTTTGTTACTGTTGCTCGGCATATGATCTGCTTACCAATGTTTTTCATATCCAAATCCTCATTTAGCCCTGAGTTCCATCCTTATCTCCCAACAATCATAAAATACTCTAGGACAGGGGCTATCATTTTTATGCCATGCATGTAAATCTGGTGAAATCATGAACTCCTCAGAAAAACAATTTAAATGCAGAAAGTATAAAAGGTAAATACTTTAAAAAAAAGTTCATGCATACTAAGTTAAGAACCCCTGCTTTAGGCACAGTCTCTCTTTTCAATTATACAGGTTGTATCTTCATCAGCAGAATATAAGCTCAAGAGCAAGTACTGTTTCGTCTTTGTCTTCCCACTTATAAAGACTGTAATAAATGTTGAATAGAATACTTATCTCCCTTGGGAAGTAACAATAAATTGTTTCAAGCTGGGCTTTACTGTATCCTTAAAAGTATTTTAAACACTTTTTAACTAAAAATTGAAGACACTGGGATTTGCCTAGGAAAATCCAAAGTTTTTATAAACTTAGCATTTAAGACCCTCCACAATCTGGCCTAAACCTATTTTCCCCCAACTTTGTTCTAGCCAAATTTACCTACTTTTGTGCTCGTCTACCACTTCTACACTTTTGTTCATGCTACTTCTCCCTGCTGGGATGGCCTCAGCTTGTTTTTATCTATCCAAATCTTCCTCCCCCTCTAAAACCCAGCTAACTGTTTCTGCCTTCATAAAGGGTTTTCCTCATAACTGAATGTGATGAGTATTAATTGTTGTCCCATTTGTATAGCTCTTTAAGTTTGCAAATAGCTTTGTATGCCATATTGCCTGATCCTCATTACAACCGTGAGAAGAGCTATTCTCTCCATTTTGCAGAGGAAACCTAAGCTCTGTTATCTTGTTTTCTCAGGGTCACAAAGCACTATCTTAGGTAACATTTGAACTCAAGTCTTCGTGACTTCAAATTCAGCAGTCTAACTGCTCTATCACGTTGCCTTAATTTCACTGACAACTGGTACCCCAAAGATCCCTCAGCCAGTCAAATTACTTATTCATCTCGGCCAGATGAACACACCCATCTGGCAACCATTAGGCTGTTTCTGCCTGTCCTTATAGATATGTACAGTATTATATTTATCTCAGAACTGGAAAAGAACCTCGGATGTCATCTGATCAAACCTGTAACTGAACAGAAATCCTCAGGTCAAATCACCAAGCATTCAAGTGCTTAGCAGGTACCAGGCAAGATACTAAGTGCTGGGGATACAAAGAAAGAAAAAACCCCAACCCCCAAACTAATCTAACCAGAAAACACTCCAAACAAACAAAACCTCCAGCTCTCCAGGAGCTCACAGTTTAATGGAGCCATTTGGGTCCAGACTTAGCTTTGCAAAGGCGGAGCTCATCGCTCCGGAGGCAGCCCGCCCCAGGCCTGGACAGCGCTACTTTGCTAAGCTAGTTTTCCCTCATGTCGAGCAGAATTTCAACTCTGGTAACCGCGGGATCCTCGGCAAAGGTAACGAGCATTTATAAAGCCTTAAGAAGCTCCTTCCTGGGAAGCAGGCGCTCCTGCCTCCAGTCGCCCCCGCGGCAACAAGCTCACAGCGCAAGTGACTTGCTCAGGATCACACAGGTGCTAGTTCAGCTCTCCATCACTTAACCTCTTCGCGTCTCATTTTCTCATCTACAAAATGGGTATATTGAGTTGGACGACCTGCTATGCTTAGTGCTAGACCACCTACCGCTCCTAGTTCAGTCCCCGGGGCCCACCATGCCCAGTCAATATCCTCCCCAACCCGGGGGTTCGGCCGGGGTAACGCGGGGGGGGGGGATGGAGAGGTATAGAGCAGGCTCAAAAAGGGGGGCGCGGCGTCGGAGGGAGGACGGCAGCCGGTGAGGTCCAAAAAGGTGGGCGCCCCAGAGAGGGGGAGAGCGGCGAGGATGGAGCGCACGCACGCCCTGGCATGGCTTCCCATCACCCGTAACGGGCGGACTAAATGAGGAGAGCTGGAAGGGACGGGAAGGTTCCTCTCACCTCTCCACTGGGCCAGTGGGCCGCCTGCTACACCGACGGGCCTCCCGTGAAGGGAAAGAGCCCCCGAGAGGCTCCCGCTTCCGCCGAGGCGAAGAAGCCGTAAAGCCCAAAGGCCCCTCATGTTTTCCAAGGCATAGAGCTTCAGGCAGGAGGGGGCGCTGGCCGGGAAGGCTAGTTCGGCCACGCAAGGGTTTTTGGGAAGAGTAGGCTCATTATCCACATCGCCTTCTGGGAAATGTAGTCTCCGATCTGTTATAACCAACCACTGAAAATGTGGTTTGTCAGCTACCTTAGAGTACAGGGGATGCATACCTGAACCCTAGTAAAATTAGCCCGTTTTATGCAAGGTCCTTTCATGGACTGGCGCATCTACCCCTTTTTTCCCCTCTGCCCTTCCTATTCCCACTTTCCCGACTTGTTGGTGCTGACAGCCCTCCGTAGGCAACAGGAATCTTCCGGGAGGTAAGATTTGCCCCTCAGGGCAGTTTCTTGGCAATGGTCTTTCGTGTGGATACTCTTCCTCTTCATGGCACAGAAGGGCCTCTGGGAAACGTAGTTCTTGCTTGGTCGTGGTGCATCTCGGAAGCTGGAATCCCTGTCCGTCGCCTCCTATGGGAAATGTAGTCCGGGAGGACCGAAGATTGTTTCTGCTTGAGGGGCGTTGTGCTCCTGCCGCCCTCTGCTGTCGTGGAGGCCAAGCTTTAGCATCCCGCGGAAACGTTTGTGGGTGCTTTAGAGACTTGTGCCTGAAGTCAGGCGCGAATTCAAATTCGACCGTAAACACTGCCTAGTTGTGTGATCCTGAGGAAGTCACTTAACCTTTGTTTGCTTCCGTTTCCTCATCTGTGAAATGGAGATGATAATAACAGCACTTACCTCCCGGGGTTGTTGTGAGAATCAAATAAAACAGTGTTTATAAAATACCTGACGTATATAAACATGTCAAATGAGATAATGATTTAAAAGTACCTGAGCTTAATGAATGCTTATTTCATCAAGAGTTTTGGGACATCTTGGATTTCATAGAATGGAAGAAACTTCTCCACTTATAACAGAACAAACATCTCCCCTCACATATCTGTAACAAGTGGCCACTCACGTTTTTGGTGACGACCCCCAGAATGGAGGACCCCATAGCCCATTCCCTCCAGGACAGCTTTTTTTCCATGCCCCAATTTGTCTTTTTTTGCTCTTCCCTCCTGTTGTTCCTTGTTATGCCTTCAAGGCCAACCTGTCTTCTAGGTGCTTGGCCTTTCAAAGACTTGGAAAGAAGTCCTTGCCCCAAGTCTTCTCTTCTCTGGGCTCACCATCCTCAGTTCCTCGGAACTGACCTTAATGTGACTTCATCATGAGGTCCCTCACCATTCTGGTGGTCCTACCCTGGACACCCTCCATCTGTCTTCTGTTTGGTTCCTAAAATGTGGTGCCCCACATGAAAACACGTCTGCAAAGGGGAGGATTGCTCTACTACACGGGTGCATGTTACATTTTATCAAAAAACAACCGTGAGAGCCTAGGTACTAATATTATGCCCTCTTTATAGATAAGGAAATTGAGGCAGACAAAAATTAAGTAACTTATCTAGGGTCAGACAACTAATAAGTGTCTGAAGCCAAATTTGGACTCAGCTCTTCCCTCAGTAGTGCTATGGATAGAGCTCGAGGCTTGGAGTCAGGCAGATCTGAGTTTAAATGTGATTTCAGACACATATTAGCTGAGTGACCCTTGACAAATCACTTAACGTTGTTTGCCTCGGTTGCCTCATCCAGAAAATGAACTGGAGAAGGAAGTGGCCAACCGCTCCAGTATCTTGGTCAAGAAGAGTCAGACAGGACTGAAACAATAACTTCCTAATTCCAGGTTCTATACTCTGCCATCTAGCTGCCTTTGACCTGAGGATCCAAACAATTAGGCTTAACACAGGATTTGATATCTGAAAACAAATGTAGCCTGTTTATCCATATACTGTTGTGTTTTTTAATACACAAAGTATTTTATTAAAACAACTAGATGTGAACGTTAACCAACATCGCTGCTAATCACTATATCTAAATAGGATAGGCAATTCATGGATAATTTAAATATAGAAATTGCTTCCCTTAATCTAGTGCTTTATAGCCGCAAAGCACTTTTTACATATTTTTGTTTGATTTTTTAATGGCGATGCTATGACGTAGGCAGCCCAAATATTGTCATGTACATTTTATAGATGATTCAGTAGAGGCCTAGACAGTCTGTGACTTGTCCCAGATCATATACTAAGCAAGTGTTGGCAGGACAGTGGCGCAGAAAGGTGCGGAAGACAGAGAAGACAAGTAACTGACTCTCAGAATTGGCAGATAACTGAGAGGTCAATCATTTAGTCTCGCTGTCAGACCAATATGTGTATCCCTTCTGTAAATGAGAGCCTGTAATGACAGGGAACTTGCTATCTCATAAAGCAATCCATTTCATGTTTGGACAGTCTTCATTGTTAGAAAGTTATTCCTTTTATTGAACTGAAATAGGTTTCTTTATGACTTTCTATCCACCCAATTCCTAATTCTACCCACTGGGACTGCATACAACCAACCTAATCCTTCCTCCATATAACAGTCCTTTCCCATCCCATGCAGTCATCTTTCATGGGCATCTTGCCATCTGCCCTAATGCTAACCCTATTCTCCCCATTTGGAAGAAGTACCCTGTAGACCAAAACTCTGGCGGGCGATCATGCCCTGCTTCCTGGTGAGTAAGTGTGTGTGTATGTGTGTGTGTGTCTGTGTGTATGTGTGTGTCTACTCTGCTTTGGAACTTTGATTAGAGACTGAACTGATTGGACAGTGAATGAACCCTCCCCTAACACACTATGCCTTCTGACCACAGACCAGTAAGAAGTGTAAGAAGGAAAGAGCCAGGTTGAGAAGGGCTTTAAATGTCAAACAGAGCATTTTATATTTGATTGTGCAGATAATAAGGAATCACTGGAAATAATGGAGTAGGAGGTGATAAGGTCAGACCTGAGCTTTAGGAAGATCCCTGTGGCAGCTCAGAGGAGGCAGGAAGATCAACTAGAAGACAGTTCGGCAGTGAGGCCAGGAGAGCGGAGTGGCTGTGTGAGAGGAGAGCAGTAGAGGCACACAAGGGATATTGGGAAGGTAGAAAGGACAATAGTTGACAACATATTGGGGCGAGTGTGAGCGAGGAGCCGAGGATGGTACCGAGGCTACCAGTCTGGGTGACTGCCCAGCACACAGTAGGCATTTAGTAAAGGCTTTTTCATTTTCTTTCACTCTTTCATGCAGCTGCCACATTTCCATTCCTAAAGCACCATTCTGACCATATCACTTTCCTCCTAAATAAAATACAAACCCTTTGTTTGACATTTAAAGCCTTTCACACTGGTTCCAACTTGCCTTTCCAGGCGGATTTCATTTTACACCCCCAGCCTCCAGCTCTATGTTTCAGCCAGCCTGGCCTTCTTGCCTGCTCCCCTAGCTGGATGGGACCTCCCATCTCACCACTGTGTCTTTGGGTGGGCTGTTCCCCTGGCCCGGGATGTGCTTTTCCCTCACCTGGGCCTCTTGGAATCCTTACCTGCCTCTTAGACTTAGCTCCAGGGTCACACCCTACCCAAAGCCTTTCAAGATTTCAATTGTTCTTGCTCACTCCCTAATTAATTTGCAGTTTATAAGATGTCACCCAGTACTAGTTATTTCCTTTTAGTAGAAGGTAAGCTTCTTGAGGGTAGGTATGGTTTCATTGTTGTCTTTGTTTCACCAGCACATAGCACATTGCCTGGCACACAGGTGGCATCTGATAAGTGCATCGAATTTGATATATCATCCTGTGCCTAAAGTCTTTTCTTTCTTTCTTTCTTTTCAGTTTTTTAAAAAAAAGTTTAAATTTTTTCCAATTACATGTAAAAATCTTTAACATCTGTTTTTAAAAATTTTGAATTCCAACTTCTCTCCCTCCTGAATGGAAGGCTGAAATAGTGAAGCCCCCTCAGTGTAGGATCAGAGCTGACCCCTCCCCACATTTCTCAGAAGCTGCCTCCCTGAGAAAGCAGAGTGTCACCGGTAGATCAGGTGACAGAACCACATCCTGTTCTATCCCTTCTCAGACTCCCTCCCGGTGGTTAAGCGCACCGTGCCTTGTTTTCTGCCCTGTTTGACCTTTGTTCCCTCGTTGCTGTGGAGAAGTTCCCACACTTGGACTGCGAGCGCCCCGAAGCCCAGCCAATGGGAAGAAGAGCCAGTGGGTGGGCGGGGGCTCCACGTTAGAGTCTATATAAACTTGTTCGGAGCTGTACGCCCTTGCACTTTCTCGCTGATGCCATCTTGAGCAACACAGACAGTGTCCTTTCTCACGAGAAAGCAATAAAACTCCTTTTTACCTTTCTGAAGGAAAGTCTGACTGATTATTACAAGGGGGTCACAAATACCCCACACACTCCCTCCGAGCTCTAACGTCTTCTCGGTTCTAAGATCGATGTCTCTATTTTTTGGAAATAATCCCCAGATAACAAGCCCTCCCACCATCCTGGTCACTTCCCTTTGGACTTACTTCGCTTGTTTTTGTCCTTCCTTTACTAGAACGGTTTCAAAAGGTGCTAGCACTGGACGTGACTTTACAGTGACCTAGGCCAACTTCCTCTTTTTACCAAAAGGAAAAAGAGTCCCAGAGAGGGGAAGTGATTTATTTGCCTGAGGGTACCAAATATGGAGGGCAATGGCAGAGCTGTCTCAGAAACTGGTCTCCTGATTCTTAACTCAATGGGTTGGGTACCCCCCCCCACCTCCACTATAATATTTCTTCTTGAGGAGGCCTGTGTGCTGAACATTGTGCTAAAGAAAGGTGTAACATGAATAACGGTACAGAACAGTGGAAAGAGAACTATCCTTGAGGTCAGAATACCTGGCCTCGAATCCTCAATACAAAAACTATTAGCTGTGTGACCCAGAGCAAGCGATTTAGCATCTCTGAAACTCAGTTTTTTCATCTGCAAAATGGGACAATGATACTTGCACTCCCCACCTCAGGGTTATTAAGAAGGCATGTTGTAAACTTTAAGTCACTAGAAAAAATGTGAATTTTTATTGTTGTAAGCTAGTATGAATTTAATATAATAAGGAGAGGCGGCCTTGTAGAGGGGAAAGGTGGGTGTGGAATCAGAAAGACCTGAGTACAAATCCTGTCTCTGACACCAACTGTGTCATTGTGGGCATAACTTAAACTCTCTGAGCCTCAAGCCGTTCCCCTAAGACTTACCTACCTCATTATAGATGGGCTGGGATATGTTAGTCTTTCACAAACAAATACAA